GTTGAATCCACTGGCACTTTGGATTTCTCTGTTACTTGCATTTTCACACATTGTCACACAGACACACACTCATGTACACATGCACACACATACTCACAGGCACACACATACTCACAGGCACACACATACTCACACACTCACGCACACGTACTCACAAACACACACACGCATGGCACTCAGCCCTCACTGAAGCGCAGCAGATAGGAGCACAGGCTGCCTGCATTGGACTCTTCGTTCCACCCCAGCAGTTCCATGACCTCGGGGAGCCGGCCACCCTCTGATGAGAGGGAAGAGCAGGCCACCCTCCGTGCGGGCCACAGCAAGGTGAACGGAGGCTGCATGGAAGGGCTGAGACGCTGCCGGCACGCAGTAGGTGCTCGACCATGCAGCTCTTGTTAGCAACACAAGTTCGGTTACCCCGCTCCTCCGTGGCCACATGTGCACAGTCTCTAGCAGATGCCTCACCTCTGCCAGGAGTCTGTGAGCTCAACGGCTCCCCGATAAACTGCACCTGAATTGGAGACACTAGCTGCCGTCACTTGCACTCCCAAAATTCTCTCCTCAGACCCCACCGTAAGGCTCTGCACAGGTCTGAGGGGACACATCTCCACCCCTCGCCGCCTCCAGAGCTGGTGGAGTTGGCCCCACAACACCTCTGACCCCTTTGCCAGCCCCTGGAGTGGAGCTCGCCTCAGCCACGGCAAAGGCGGGGGGGGGGAACGGGTGGCTCAGTCCGCAGCCACAGGCACCAGGACCTGCCCTGGCCCCTCACTGCTGCCTACCCAGTACCTGCCTCTTCCTCCATGCTTCTTCTCCCAGGGCCCGGGGCCCTGCTGGCAGCTGGTCCCCCATCCCCATGGGCAGGGAGGCTCTTCCCTGGGGCTCTAGCCTGCCCTGTCCCAGGGCGCAAGGAGGCGTGTGGCACTTTGGGAGCACCTGTGGGTTCAGAAGCGGGCGAGGAGCTGATGTGGGGGGTAAGAAGCCCATCTGTGGGCACCCCAGCCCCCAAAAACTCACTGTGCTGGCACCCATGCCTGCTCGGGGGTGGGAGGGGCATGGAAATGGGTCCGTGTGTGGGGTGCTCTGCTCCATGAGCCCCACGTGGAAGGAGGAGCTGTCCCGGTCCACCTGACCAAGGAGACATGGAAGCTCCAAGATGACCACTCCTGCTCAAGGCCACCCAGACCCAACCCTGGGCATCCTGCTAACAGCGGTCGGCCCCAGCACTGGTGCAAGCCGGGGTGGGCAGGGGCACCAGTAGGCCTGGGCGGCGAGACCACATCAGCAGCTGGCAGGATGGGGGAGGCGGATGCCGGCCGAGGCACCAGTGCATTCCCAGGCCAGTCCCGTCTGGGCCGGGTGGGTCAGAGGTGCTCACTCTCCAGCCAGTGGTCACTGCCAAGACATTCTAGCTTGTCACAGAGCCCAGCGTATGAGGTCAATCCCAAGGACAGCGGAAGTCTCAGGAGCTCTGCATCAAGGCCGCCTTCTCCGCCTGCCTGGACAGCGCCCGCACACCAGAAGGGGACGGAGGGGGCTGGACAGGGGTCAAGGGACCATGTTCATCTGTATTAGCTTCTTCCTGCTGCTGTAAAAATGACTACGCACTGCAGCACAGGCGTATTCTCTCTCAGTCCCAGAGGCCAGCCGTCTGAAACCCAGGGGAGGAGCTGGCTCCTGGCCTTTCCAGCTTCTAGTGGCCCCTGCATTCCTTGGCTCGGGGCCCCTCCTCCATCCTCGAAGTGCATTGCTCCAGCCTCTGCTTTGGTCAGCACACCACCTTCTGCAGTCCAATAGCTCCCGCCTCCCTCTGGCAAGGATCAGGCGGTTGGGTTTAGGGCCCCCTGGATAATCCAAGGTCATCTCCCATCTCCAGATCCTTGCCTTAATCACATCTACAAAGTCCCTTTTGTCATATAAGGTCACATTCACGGGTTCCAGGGGTTAGGACCCAGGTATCTGTGGGGGCCATTACTCAGTCGACCAGCCCTCCAACAATAGACCCCACAGGGCACCTGCCCTGGCCGCCTGCTAGAAGCGTACAGTCCAATGGGCAGGGCGACATGCCTGGACAAGGTGGGCACAGCCCGGGAGTGCTGCGATGGGGCTGTGGAGGGAGGGCCTCATACAGGAGGTGCCAGGGTAGTCTGAGGATAAGTAGGGGTCACCCCGCTGGAGCCGGAGAGAAAAAGTGCGAAGGGAGCCAGCAAATTCCGGAAACTCCAACAGCTGGGACTCTGCAAAGGAGGGCAGTGGGCGTGGCTGCAGCTGTGCTGGCAGGCCGCCAGGTGGGGCATGCTGGATGTAAGTACGATCGCACTCTCCTGGGGCAAGGCCACCGGACGGACGCCGTGATCTGCTCCTGAGTAAGAGAAAAGAGCTCCGCGCGCACAAGTGGGCTGGCGTCAGGACGAGAGCAGCATATTCAGGATCGCCGTCCAGGCATCACGCAAGGACAGGGGTCCTGCAGGTGACAGGTGACCAGCCACAGAGGAATTGGGTCTGGGTGAGGGCGCTGCCTGCACACAGCCCAGATCCCAGCCCGTGCTCACCTGCTCTGTTCTGACGCTCAGAGCCCGCCACTGTCATCATCTGTTTCCGTGTCACCTCCCACTGCCCCAGGCGCCAAGCCACTGAGAAGCCCTGCATGCAGGCGCCCAGCACAGGCTGGGCACAGAGCAGCACCAGGCTCAAGCGGCCGTGGGGCAGACACGTGGGATGCCCGGGACCACCGTAACGGCAGCGCCAAAGGCAGCCGTGCATCTTCGGAAAACAGCGCCGATGGCAATTAGTTTTAAATTGCTGAATGTTCTCTCACCGCTGGCAACAGGAACTGCTCATTGGCACCTAGCCCCCCTCCCACGTGCCGTACCTGCCATACCCTAGATGCTCCTGTATGTTCCCACCCCCAGCTCCTAGAACAGGCCCCGCCCACCCGTTGCAGGAGCCCAATAGAGGCCTGTGAAATTGATTCAAAACCCAGCCCCGCCCAAGCCAGAGCCCCGCCTCGCCCCATTCCCACGCTGCCCAACCAGAGCCCATCATGCCCTGCCACCAGCCCCACCCCCAGCCCAGCCCAGACCTGCCCCCTGAATTGAATGTTGGCAAGGCCTGTCCAGAAGCCGGGGTGCCAGGATTGAGAGGGGCTGTGGGGCTGTACTCTGCATAGGGAGCTCATTACAAATAGCTGACCTGCAGTCTGCCCACCCACATCATTCCCATGCTTTGGAAGACAGGCCTGGAGATCTTCTTCTGAAATGTCACAGCCTCGAAAGGGACGGGAAGAGACCCCTGAGTGAGGACCTCCCTCCACTTGTTGCTGTTAGCTGCTCTAGAGTGAGCACTGACTCACGACCACCCCGTGCACAAAGAAGCAAAAGGCTGCCCGGTCCTGCGCTGTCCCTGTGATCGGTTGTCGGCCAGACCATTGTGATCCATAGGGTTTTCATTGGCCAATTTTTTAAAAAGACCACCAGGCCTTTCTTCCTAGTCTCTCTTAGTCTGGAAGCTCCACTGAAACCTGTTCAGCATCCTAGCAACACGATGGCCTCCTCTGACAGACAAGTGGTGGCTGTGCTTGAGGCTCACTGGCTGGGAATTGAACTCAGGTCTCCTGCGTGGAAGGCGAGAATTGTACCACTGAACTGGAAAGACTGTAGCTCCAGCTTGTATCTCACTCAACTTCTGAGAATCCAGAGTAGAGGGAAATCAGTGAGTGTAATCAATGTGGAGAGAGCCTTTACTCATGGTTCCACCTCAGTCAACATAAAAGCCATCATAGAAAGAAGAAACCTGATCTAAGTGCTAAATGTGGCAGGACCTCCAGTGGGGAGGCGGCAGAAGATTCATCCGGGGAGACATCCTGTGAATGAAACGCTTTCCGTCGCATCGGAGTTGGCAGGCGACAGCAACCCTGTGAGGCAGGACTGGTAGCCTTCTCTGGCTCATGCCCCGGCACCGTGCCAGTGACACCGTGTCACGGGGAGAGGGGCCTCACGTGCTCAGGTCCCATCTCGACCGCGGAGAATTCACCGGCAAGAAAGCCTTCAAACGCAGTGGGCGCAGGAAAGCCTTCGGCCTCAAGCAAATGTCATCCCCAACAGTGAAGCTACTGAGACTTTGCACACGGACGACATCTTACAATTGTAATGCAAGTGAACTTTAAATTTTCAGTTAGAGAAGTTATGTGGACAGAGGAGCCGTGGTCAAGAAGCGAGACCAGGACTGAGGCGGAGCAGGGTGCAGCAGAGGAGGAGCCCAGTGGGGGCGGTTTCCAGCAGAAGTGGGCGCTCTGGGTAACAAGCCTAGAAAATAACCGGTGCAAACTCTGAATTGACCGCACCGCAGAGGGCTGGGAGGGAGACACGGAGGGTCTTGGAAGTCCCGGACCAAGCGGGGCAAGGAGAATGGGCCTGGGGAGCGTTCGCTGGGAGTCCACCGGGACATACTGGAGGCCGCAGCCTGGACACGGCCAGGGCAGTCAGGACCCTCGCAGAGATACAGCCACCCGGAGAGGGGCTGCTCGGGGGCGGGGCCTGACAGGGCGTGGGCGGGGCCTGCACCAGACGGGGAGGGTAGGGGTTGGGACCTGGGGACGTGGAGAGGCCTTATCTGGAGCAGGGCAGGATCTCCTACCGGCCGGGGACTGCCCAGGGACGGAGCCAGATGGGATGTGGGCGGGATGGGGCGTGGTCTTGGGGCGAGCCAGCTCGGGGGTGTGGCCTGCACGTGACCTGGGCGGGGCTGGAACAAGCCTGATGGGGAGCGGGGCGGGGTCTGCACGGGGGTGGGACCCACAGGACAGGGGCGGAATCTTCTTTGGGGAGGGGCGGAGCCTGCTGGGGCGGGACTTTTGCGGCCCACCACCGAGAGGCTCAGGCCCCTTGCTCCTAGAGCGGCGCCGGAAGGGGCGGGGCCTGCGGGCCCGGCCTTCCGGCCGTCGCGTAGGGCGGGTGTGCCCGGCGAGGCAGTGTTACCGCATCTAGCCAGCTGCAGGTGGCCCAAGCGGGCTGCGAGTTCTGCACCTCACTTTGGGCATCCCCGTGGGGGCCGGAGCGGGTAAGGCCGGGGTGCGGCGGGAGCTCCGGCAAGGAAGGGCCCCTCTCCCGCCCCTGGGCTCCCCTTCCCGGCCTTCCGGTCCTCGTCCCGCCTCGGGCGCGTCTTGGCCTCGTAATGGGGAGTCCTCGTTCCCTCTCACCTCCGGGGAGTGCTTGTAGGATCCCTGCCCACCCTTGTCTCGTCCAGGTCACAGAGGGTCCTGATGGGCCGACTACGAGGGCAGCTACCCCCTCCTTCCACTTTCACGTGGCCGGTGGAAAGCCGGGCTCCCGCGGAGAGGAGGGTGCGGTTAGCCAGGACAGCTATGTGTATCCGAGACGAGGTCCCGAGGCCCCGGCTCTCCACACAGCGGGGGTGAGGTTCTGTCGTTGGAAGGGGGGCATCGCGTGCTGCTCTTCAGAATCAGAGTGAGAGGCGGGTTCTCTCACCTGCCTGCTGTAAGTGTATAAACACTGGTGTCTCGGGCCTCGTGGCCCCACAGGTGGTTTGGGTGCAGTTTTGCTCTTGGATCTCAAGCCCGCTAATGATCCTGCTCTGAGACCCAGGGTCCTGAAGGCAGTGGAGGAGGGGGTCTGGGAGTGATGTTTGGGGGAGCCCCTGCTGCTGCTGAACCCCAAAGCCTCGTGATACCTAAGCCCAGAGGTACAGGAGCCAGGCTGAAGGTGACAGCCGGAGGCACCTTTAGGCCAGTGTCTCCTGAGCACCAATATGTGTAGTCTCTAGCCAAGTAACCGCAATTCGGGGATAAAAAAAAGAAAGCCATGATCCTTGCCCTCAACAGCCCCAGCCTCACGTGAGTGGCATGCCACAAGCGAGTGATAAGCATCGCAGGCAAGGGGACAGCGTTGTGGAGTACATGGAAGACCTCACAGGCCTCGGGCAGCACATGCCAGGCTCGGTGGGTTCATGGACCCCACCCTCCATTGAGCCGAGCCTGGACATAGAGCCATGTTGTTAGGCCTGGTGCCCAGAGAGCCTCCAGCACATGGGGCCAAGAGCTGTGCTTGCTCTTTTGTATCGGTTCTTGGTTTTTCCCTCAGGTTCCTACTAAAGTTAGGCCCAGCCTCCAATTCCAGCCTGGGTGACTGGGGCTGTGACCACTCCCCTCGTTCCACTTGAATTCCACCTGCCCAGCTGAGTTGACCCCTGTTTCTGCACCCTCGCCACAGCCCAGGTGGGCTTCCCTCATTTCCATTTCTGCCTCCCACCTGATGCTGAGAACCACCTGCCCCAGAAGCCACCTCCAGGTAAAGCCCTGGGATATTATGGTCTAAATCTGAAGCAAGCTTACCGTTATGGATTGAATTTTGTCCCCCCAAAATGTGTGTCAGCTTGGCTAGGCTATGTTTCCCAGTATTGTGTGATTGTCCACCATTTCATCATCTAATGCGATTTTCCTATGTGTTAATGAGGCAGGACTCCATCTACAAGATTAGTTTGTATCTTGACTTAGTGTCTTTTGAGATATAAAAGAGAGAAGTGATCAGAGAGATGGGGGCCTCCTACTTCTAAGAAAGCAGTGCCAGGAGCAAAGCATGTCCTTTGGACCCAGGGTCCGTGCGCTGAGAAGCTCCTAGACCAGGGGAAGATTGATGACAAGGACCTTCCCCCAGAGCCGACAGAGCGAAAGCCTTCCCCTGGAGCTGGCGCCCTGAATTCGGACTTCTAGCCTCCTAAACTGTGAGAGGATAAACTTCTGTTTGATAAAGCCAGCCACTGGTGGTATTTCTGTTACAGCGACGCTAGAGAATAGCTGACTAAGCCACTTACGTAAACATCGACCTTCAGAAGGACCAGACGGCCACGCTGCCCATCAGGTGGGTGGTCAGCACGGTCATCTTCTGTTTTCTGTTTTCCCTCCAAGCGTGGGTGAGAAGAGGGGAGGCCGGGTACCCTCTTTGGACTTGACAAAGAGCATTCAAAGTGTTCACAGCTTAAGACATATGTCACCTGGAATGTTATTACCCAGAGCACCACGTTTGTGGGTGAGACGGCCTGTCAGACTCATGGACCTCCTGCCCAGCCGGGGTGGGGAGACCCCTCCCCTGGCAGAGGAGTAGATTCCTCCAACAGCGTGAGCGGTGATGCCGAGGATCTGGAAGCGGGGGAGGTATCAGGGTCTGGGGAAGTCAAGTGTAAATGTGCACGTAGGTGCACACATGCACATGCATGCATGTGTACACAGGCACGTACAGCCTTACAAACGTACACACATGCACGCACACACACCCCAGCTCCCCCATCCTGGCACCCCCTCCCCTCCCTGGTAACGTGGCCTCTGGAGGAGCTTGAAGCTGTGCCCTTCCCAGGCACTTGTCTGTCCAGGTGTTCACGGCCTTACTTCTCTCCACAGCAGCAGGGTTGATGGTTCGTTCTTTCTGTTGCAGATGTTCAGTTCCAGGGCTTCAGCTGCAGACTTAGGAAATGAGTCAAAAGCCAGACGTTTCGGAAGAAATGGCGTTACAAGGAAAGGCATTCCTAAGACCGAAGAACTTTGGCGTGGCCCCTCTGTGCAGGGCAGGGTGGCAAATCCTCCATCCTTGCTGGCTTCCGTGGGGTCCTCTCTCTTTCCTGGGAGCCAGGAAAAATGGAAAAGCGCACGGGCAAGATAAAGAAGACCCAGACTCCAAAGGAAGAAGCCGACATGCCAAAGGACGCATTTCAGGAGAGAGAGCGTCAGGAGAAAAAAGCCAAGCAAAAGACGCACTTTGGTTGGAAAGCAGAGTAAGGAGCAGGCCTGAGCCCGGAAGATGAGGAACACCTGTTTGATGCCTCCGATACCTCCTTTGAGGACGACTTTGAGGGGGTCCCCATGTTTATTCCTTTTCAGAGGAAGAATCCCTACGAATGTGGCAAATGTGGGCGCATCTTCAGGCACAAGATGGGCTGCATCCACACCGGCAAGAAGCCCAGCCTGTGCAGCCAGTGTGGGAAGGCCTTCCGGCACAGTTCGGACATCACCAAGCACCAGCGTGTGCACACTGGGGAGAAGCCCTTCAGCTGCGGTCAGTGTGGGAA